CAAGCAAAATGACTACCAATAGCTATTGGTAGTCATTTTGCTTGTTTATAAATGTTATATATCTTTACAGTGTCTAACTTTTAAAAATGATTTTTACAAATTCGTATAATAAAATTATTTTTTAATTTTAAAATTTTATTGCTATGCTTAATTTTAATTTTTAAAATTACCAGTATGCATTGTTGTTGTTGCTATGTGCTGTCAAGTTATCTCGGAGTTATGGGGATCCTAGAAATAAAAGCCCTCCAAAATGTGCTGTGCTTGACAACCCTGCTCAGCTCTTGTGAATTCAAGGTTGTGACTTCCTTATGACTCTTACCTTCTCACACTCAAGTGCAAGAGCCTCAGTTTCATCATTTTTTGCTTTCAAAGAGTGTTCTGGGTTGATTTTATCTAAGACCCACTTGTTCGTTGTTCTGACAGTCCAAAGTATTTACAAAGTTCTCTTCCAGCACCATGTTTCAAATGCATCAACTTTCTTTTAGTCAGTGTTCTTCACTGTCCAACTTTCACACACTTATAAACTGAGAGGACATCTGAGTTAGAGCTTATCGATATTGTTAAAGCGAGTTATATCTAGAGACATCAAGAGATTTATCTAAATGCAGAGAGTTAATCACATTCATAGATATAATCCCGTGATGATTAGATATTCTTTTATTGTTTCATGGCTTGAATTCCCTTTTGTCCTGTTGGATTTTTTGTGACTCTTGTGTGTGTTCATGAGTGTTCTTGCTAATTATTATAGAGAAGGGCATTTTTAATTTTAAAAGGCACCGTACATTTTTATTATGTTTGCCCTTGCAACAATCTTCTAGGTTCAGCATTGTTTCTGAGATCGATTGTGTATTGCTTGATGCCACACAAGCAACTTGGTGGCAGTGGGTTTTGAACCCAAATTTTCTTGACCACATTCAATTATCCACTGGATTGCACTCTCTTTTTTAGTAATTTATTGAAGAGAAATGAATGTATCCCTAAAAGTTGGATCCAAACAACTACTCATTTTATCACCTGTGACATACCAAAGTGGTTTTTAAAGGCATGAATGTAGGAAGAAGGTGTGGTTCAGACATTGAATACACAGTTACATGGATACAGTGCCCTGGATAATTGCTTAATTTTTCTGTTTTGTGCTGAAACACTCCTAGCAGGACTGCTGGCCATCTTGCTCATCTGAGTCAGTCATGAAAGGATGTAGTATTTCATGTCTGATAGATCCTGTCATGGAAATAGCTTTGCTGTGTCTCTCGAAGACATTCTGTGGTGTTCTGCAGAGGACTATGTTTTGAAGCGGGCTTAGCATGTCTGATCTTTATTCACTGGGAAAGAATTCTGCTATCCAGCTTGATTTGTGACATAGAAAATTGAAAACGTAATGCTACTAAGCAACTGCTTTTTGATCTCTGTAAGTAGGAAGAATGGATTTCAGCTAGAAAGTGGCTAGTTGCTGTGTGCCTGTTTGTGTATGTGCAGAGTGCAGGAATGTTATATATGTGGGTGAACATTTGTGTGCCTGGGGAGCACGGGGGGAGCCTAGTATGAAGCCAAAATGTCATCCTTTGGTATTTATTCATTTGTTTCCACCACAGAGAGACAAGCCATAGTTTAGACCAGGGGTGGGCAATTAATTTTCCTATGGGGCCACATGAGAAACTTTGACAGTTGTTAAGGGCCGGACCAATACACTTACAGCTCTGCTCAATATATATCTCTATAAAAACAGTAAATGAAACATTACAGTGATACAATGAAAATGTGGAGCACAGAACAACAAGCACAGAACAATACTATTTAATGAATATTCACAAAAACATTAACATTACATGAAAAGCAATACATTCAATTCAATTTAGCGGATCCTTCAAAATAAAAGCAGTGCAGTTGTATTGCTTGCATCTATATTACGACGATGTATATTTGCATTGACTTTTAATTTGCCAGTGACCTCATGCGGGCCAGTCAGGGTCAGCCATCGGGCCAGATGTGGCCTGCGGGCCATACAATGCTCAGGTCTGGTTTAGACTGTGCAATGGCTGGTCTCTTTGACACTACAAATGGCTACATCAGAAGCAAAGAATAGGAACATAAGATTGTGCTCTGGGCAAATATAATACCTTTGCATCTTGGCTATATGTGGCACTGAGACTTCATCCTAGGGAAGTATGAGAATTTTATTTTTGCTCAGAAAATAGGCATGCAGACTTTCTTTGAAGCCCTGAGTGCAAGTATGTATCCACTGCAAATAATTCATTAATTGATGAACGTGTTTTTCTATTTGTCTTGCTCTTGTTTACCAGTTCAGTTTGTGAAAGTATTCTAATTTGTGCAGATTTCCTCAGTAGACTGGATCAGCTTTTTTTTAGACTATGCAGGAAATCAAATTAGAACAGTTCTGTAGATTTGGGTGGGGTGGGATGGATTTGTCCTTACCTCCTGTTTGATCTCGGCTTGATTTGCACAATTTGAACAGCAAACGCAAACATGAATTGAACACAAAATGAGCAATGAGGCAATTTTCAAAGAATCCTAGTGATCTTGAGCATCAGTCATTAACCCACCTCTTGATTCATTCTTAACTTTCTCTGGATTGTGTCTGGAATGTGTGTGTATCTTTGCCTGCAGGAAGAGAATTGGTTTTTTTCCCTCTGCAGATTTCCCTCCCGACACCCTTTTCCATACTGTATCTTTGGAGCACCTCTTTGATTTTGTTCCCTTAGTCAAAGGTTGCATTTGAATATGATGATAACACCAGTTGCATCACCCTTTAAGAATAAAATGTCAGTGTGCAAACTATGAAATAGCTACAGCACCTTTTAAACTTTCCTGGTTTCAGTATAATTTTACTGAAATGTTTTCCAGGAAGAAGGTCCCGTAGGAAGGAAGTTCTGATGCTTTGCTGAAATATGGCTATTTTATTCTTACTTAATCTATTTCATTTCAATAGTGTTCAATAGCTGAAGCACACTAGAGGGTTTGCAGTAGTGCCTAAGATAGGCTGTAATATAATATAATATAATATAATATAATAAAATAGCCAAAATAGTTTGCAATACAGAATTTTAAAACAGTTTAAAGATTTATTTATTTATTTTTCGATTTAATCCTGCCTTTTTCCTACAAAGGGCTCAAGGCAGCTTACATCATTCTCCTCCTCCATCTTGTCCCCACAACAACAACCCTGTGAGGTAGGTTGGGCTGAGAGTCTGTGGCTGGCCCAAAGTCACCCAGTTGGCTCCATGACTGAGCAGGGACCAGAACCCAGATTGTCTGAGTCCCAGTCCCAGCTCTTAACCATTACACCACACTGGCTTTCCACACCACACTGACTTCAGTTGGTAATCCATGCAAATGGTTTAGGAGTGGGGCAATGTAGTCTTGCCTCCCAGCCCCTTTAGCAGTTTTGCTGCTCAATTTTGAACTAATTGAAGTCTCCAAACTGTTGTCAAGGGCAGTCCCACATAGAGCTGCTTTTCCTTCCTGAATACTTCTTTTTCTTTTACTTTCCGGGAAGAAAAAGGGATGGAAAAAGAAATGGCAGTGCTTCTAGCAGCAATAAGCCTTAGGTACACTGGATCCAACGGTATCTTGCTGCCTTGAGAAACCCCAGTATTGGGCCCATTAACTAAGCCAGCGTGGAGTTTGTGCTGAAGTCAGTGGGGGAGACACCACACTGGCTCTAAAGATTTGTTTTATAATAGAAAACAAAACAAAACAAAATCTGAAGCACCTTGCATGGGTTCTCCCTTCAAGCCATTAAGTGACCCTAGAAATTCTTAGATGTCTCAGTGCAGAAGGCTATCCTGACCAGTTGCCCAAACAATGACAAAATTTATGCCAGGCAGGTGTCAGCAGGGTGATTCCAGAATTGAGGGGCCATCACTGAGCAGACTCTTTTCTTTGTTGCTTCCAACTGATCCTCATTCAGCAATGACAATGAGGGAAAGCATCGGAAGGTGATTGTGGTCTTCATTCACAGCAGTTAAGATATTGCCCATGTTTGCACTGTTACCAGTGCATGTACTTGGTATTTGTTTGCTGGAAGAATTAATGCTCTGCAAAATGCAAAAAGAGAAAATACTATAAATGGAATTTCCCTTATTTACCTAGGTATTCTCTCTCTCTCTCTCTCTGCAGAAAGACCGATTCATTGTATATGAGGAATATTGCAGCAACCATGAAAAAGCACTCAGGCTCTTAATGGAACTGAACAAGATCCCACCTGTGAGAGCATTCCTGTTGGTAAGTGCCAGGGATACCCTTAACTCTTTTGGCCAAACTTCACAAAAGGCTCAGTTGTGTGTTGTTTTCCCCCAACAACTTAAAAAACATACATTTATGAATGCCCCAACTCATAGCAGAAGAGCACCAGCTGGGAAAGGCCTTGAATCCTCCTGTTTCAATGATTGTTCCAGTTTGCGTCTCACCCCACCCTAGTCTACAGACAAAAATAAATCAGTTGAAACAGATTCTAGATCAGGAAGAAACAATCTGGGGTTGGACTGCAACTCTCCTAAGCTTCTCTCAACATGACCAATGGTCCTGAGTGACAGGAGTTGTAGTCCATACTGTCTGGAGTTTACCAGGTTGCTTACACGTGGCCCAAAGGCCACTGATGCAACCATCTTGCTGCAGCTAAGCAGGTAGGGGTTGAGTCAACGCCTGGCTGGAAACCATGTTGAGTCCTGTTGAAGGAAGCCTGGGTATTAATAATGAGAATAGGCAAGACTGGCTCAGATGCCTGTGCGGACAAAACATTTGAAATAAATGTGGTGCGTCCTGACTACCTTTTGCAGGTTCCTACTCTCGTTACTTCTCATCTTGGTGCCTTCTGTCTACCCACTTTGTTCCTATAGCTTAAAAATTTGACTTCCCTTTTGATTCAATAGGCCAGCCAGAACATGCACTGCAGTGCAGTCCTTTTGCATGCTGTGCAATAGCACTGAGTCTGGCAGAGGTGTTCTGGTGACACGTTGCTCCCTGGGTCCAGTGCAAGTAACAGCGGCGTTGACTGGAAGGGCCATCACAGACATTACTTGGAGCCCCTAACTCAAGGCTACAACTTTGTAACTCTGCTATACTCTTAAAGTAGGTGCTTGGCACTGATTTGGATTATAACCCCTGGTTGGGGGAACCTGATTTGGATTGTGACCCAAGAAGTGGTAAGAGGGCCCCTCGGGCCTAAATCAGTCCCCCTGCACCTATGGCAGTCTAAAAACTGAAATAAAAGATGTGGCTAGTAGATTCGGATTTCAGGCCGTATATGGTTTTGCCCTGGATCAGCTCAAAAGTGTGTGTGTGGTGTGCTGAATCAACCATTCCTCACCCTCTCTTGCTTCACTGAATGTGTTTAGACATTTGAAAACTGAGTCTGGGCACTCATTATGCAGAGAGACACTCATCCCCTACCCACATACTTGTTTTGCAACAAGGAAACAACCCTGCATTATTGTTTAAAATTAAAGAAATGATAAAGGACAGAACTTCTGAGGTGCACATTTACTGAAACCAAAACCTGGTGAAACAAAAAAGCAAGAAGCGGCAGTCGGGCGCTGGGGAAGTCCAGCCTGTTGCTTTGTTTATTAGGTGCCGCAAAGAGATGTAGAGGAAACCTGGCCAAGTGTGTGTTCAGAACATGGTGGGTTGAATAAATTAAAGCAATTACATTAAATAAACTGAAGACCCAGTCCTGTAGTCTCTGGGGGTGGGGTGGGGTGGGGTGGGGTGGGGTGGGGTGAGGCTCTCGGGAGTCATAGGGTACTGTGAATGTCTCTCCCCTTAGGAAGAGGAGTCCCACAGTCAGAAACCTTGTCATTTAACCAGCAGAATGTTTCTGACAGTGGAAGGGCAAGGGGAAATGCTATCTTAGATCCTCTGGATATACGCCAAACAAAGGGGAATTGCAGCACCAGTGTTTCCCTCCCTTTGCTAGTGATAGGACCGGATTTTTTTTTTTTTTAGAAAATATTGACTATGGTCAGCAAGAAAAGTTTAAACAAAGCATCCTTTCTTTGTTTTTGGCAATGCTTTCAATTTGGGGAGTCTTCTGCAGATTCTCCTTTCCTTACCCTAGTAGGGTTGTTCTTTTATGTTTTAACTATTTTAAATATTTATTTTATTTTAAATATTTATTTTAAATGTTTTATATGTTGGTATGTAGGAACACAGAAAGCTGCACTATGCTGGGTTTGGCCACTGACCTGCTTAGCTCCAGATTGCCTGCACTGACTGGCAGCAGCTCTGCAGGATCTGAGACTAGGATCTTTCCCTGCCTTACCAGGATATGTCAGGGACTGAGCCTGGGGCCTTTTGCATGCAAGGCTTGTGCTTTGCCCCTGAGCTGTGACTATTTCTTCCCACCATACTCTTGTCACATACTAGGCTGGCTGTCATCCGTCCATCTTACTGTCCCTCCCTTGGGATAAATGCTTTTCTGTAAGGTCTGCCTGCAGTATGCTCATGTTTGTGCATCCCTATGAACTTGGGAAGCAGCATCATACCAGGTCAGATCAGTAAGTCTCCACCTACCTCAGGATGGCCTTATGCCAGCTCTCCAGGGTTTCAGACAGGATTGGCTCTTGACCTATCTGGGGATGCCACCGTTGGACCCAGGACCCTTTGCATGCAGACTGTGTGTTCTGCCAGTGAGCTTCTTTTGTTTCTCTGTTGGTGCTTTCTGTCCTTTTCTCACTGGTTTACTTTTTGTTTAAAAAGTATCTCTGTTGGCTTCTTCAGAGAACATTTGAGCACATCCATGATTCCAGATTGTTCTCTGCCCCAACTAATTGGACTGGAGGAAACAAAACTCTTCAGTCCCATCACCTCATCATTTCACTAGGCAGGAAGGCAAAAAAAGGCTGTGGTGTCATTTTCTTTGTCCAAAAAAAAAAAAAAAAAGTGTGTCATGACCACGGGGGAGGCCTGCACTTGCAGGATGCTGTTTCCTTACATTATTCCCCTCCTTCACCCTCTGCCCATCCCCTGTCCCCCACTCCTGCTTGGCATAATAATGTCACCATCTAATGAGGTCAAATTAGAAAATAAAGAGCTACTTGTGTGAGTGGAATTGGCCCGGTGCTCTCCCAGCAGCTGAAGTGGAGACCTGCCTTGGAAAATGTGGGAATATTTGGTTCTGGGAAAGGCACGATTTAAAGGGTGGGAATTCAAAGGCCAGCATGAGAGTAGGAGAAAACGAGGGGAAAAGAATGGGCTATGATTCACACAACAGTCTTGGAAAATTGGACTGAGAGCTTTCTAAGGTGGCCAGCATAGCCTGTCTGAAGAATCTGCATCAAAGGAGACAGTGTGTCTATAGAAGAGATTTATGATGGGTGTCTGGTAAGGACATTTTCTAAAAATGAAATGTTTTGAACGCCAAAACACCTGAGCAGTCCTGGGTAGCTGCCTCAGATGTTACTCTAGTAAAATCCTCCCACAAGCACCCTCAACAGGCCAGAGCCGGTTGCAGTCTGTGGCAGACTTACCAAGGCATATGTTGTCTGTACTAAGTGGCATTTACTTCCGAGTAGGCTGATGTAGGGTTGGGGCATTAGGTCACATGTGACATGGAATCCTGAATGTGCGTTTCTTGGATGTAACTTCTCCATCAGCCAGAATGTTCAGGTTAAACATTTGAAACTTGCTAGGTTGGAAACTAGAGAGATAGTTTGTGGCAGATAGAGACGTAATATGATTTTTCTGCCAGTTCTCACCTTGCCTGTATGGCTTACCCTATTCCCCTTCTTGCTTTGTGATAAACTGGGGTGCCAAAGAGATATGCTGAAAGTCATTTAAAACAACGGTGTACAAATGATGGAGAGTTACAGATGGAGACTGTACAGATGGAGGTTTTTCTCCCTTCTTCAAACTCTTTTTCATGTAAAGTTGCCTTCTCCAGCCTGCAGCCTTCCAGACCTTTCAGAGTTCAACTGAAAGGGTGGACGCCCTTATATATTAAAATGGGAAAGACCTGTGGGGGAAAATATGTGTGGCCCCTTACTCACTTTGAATTGGTGCAGTCTTATGTGATGAATTTGGATTGTTTATTTTTTATTTTGCTGGAGACTTTACCAGACTTTGTTGGGGAGCACATGTGATAAAGCAGCTGAAGTGAATCAGGCTTAGTCCTGCTTAATGCCTGGGTGGGGGCATTTCTGGGAACTCGTTGCACATGGCCTTGAGCTTTACTCAAGTTACGGAGAAAATAAATGTAATAAATGAAATAGCTCTTCATTTACTGTCATGCACTGAAATTATGTCCTGTACTAAGGAGGAGCCTTTAAGGCACCTTCCAACTCTACTATTCTGTGATTCTGGGCTTCTTGTGTGTTCCCAAGCCATGGCTACTATAGGATTCTATAAAAACATGATTTACTGTCACAGTGCCCTGAGGAGCTATAAATCAAGGATAACCTTCCTGTTCTTTTCTGGTTACAGAGCTGCATGCTTTTGGGAGGCAGAAAGACAACTGACATTCCACTCGAGGGTTACCTCCTGACTCCAATCCAGAGGATTTGCAAATATCCACTTCTCCTAAAGGTAACAGCATTAAGGAGATGCTTCTGGATCACTTCCACACAATTTCAGTCTTGCTCATTGTATATGCATCTTGTACATCCAACCTGGATAACTGTAAATGTGACATACACCCAGTTTGGGTGGGAAAAGATTGGTTGTGATGTTCCAGGACTGTGAAGATTTGTAGAATGGAGCATGGTCCTTACAGATGGATTGCTCTTCTTAGTTCACTTTCTCAAGGGTGTTGCAGCCTTTGCTTGGTGGGTTACTTCTACCCAGCCACGGGACACTTCTGACTTACTGTGGTTTCCTTCACATGCACTTTATATGCCACTTGCTGTTTTATACTGGATTAATCAATACTTAGTGACTTGTGCTGCAAGGATGAAAGAAGTATTGTGCCCAGAGTAATGTCAGGTGACAGAACAGTTCTGTCTGCAGTCTAAATTCCCATTCAGGCGTGCAAAACATCATCAAAGGATGCACATGTATCATATGAGTTTGGAGACCTTTCAAAGACTGCCATTATGCCCATGTATTGGTCAAGAATGTTAGAAGCAATGTAGATGCAGACAAGAGGGCTTTGTTTTCGTTATTTTGGTAGCTTGCAATTAGTGCTTCTTTATTCAGTTATGTCCAGTTCAATCTCATGGGGCATTGGTGACAATTACTGTTGCAAGCCGCTCAGCACATCACAGATGCTGCAGGGAGCATCCAGTGGACAAAGGCTGGTCCGGGCTTCTTCCATCCTTTGGCCATAAGGGTCATGGCCTTGCAAGAGGCAGCAGAAGCATCCCATCACATGTTGTAAGTGGCAAATCAGTGTCCCCCTGTCAACAGCCTTAGTCTAGCCTATTGCATATGGCACGGTGAAGGAGCAATGTGAGGCCTTTCCCTGCTCATTCTTCAGTATGAACACCAGATCATTCAGCAACCTAATTTCGGTGATTCATCTCCCTTTTGGGGAGGGAGAAGGAGAACTAACATCTCTTTAAGGCAGAGGTGAATGACTTTTGTGGCTTCAATTTTTGTTGGACGACAGCTGCCATCAACTCTAACTAGCATAGCCAATGGTGATATGATGAGAGTTGTATTCTAGCAATGTTTGGAGGATTACATGTTGCTGACCTTTGCTTTAAGGAAAGTTAGGTTCAGAACCAGCAAACCCTTGCGAATCAGCAATGTTGCATGAATTTGAACTTCTCCCCAGCTTCAGACACACAAGCTGTGGTGGGGGGTATGTGTATGTCCAATGCACACAAGAGGGCTGTGAAAGCATGTCTTCATGGACACAGCTCATGCATGGTGCTCCTAGGAAATTGCATGTCTTAATGTTAATAAATAGAGATACTTGAGATTGGACAGTGCTTCAGAAAGTCCCCAAGTCTTATCAGTCCTAACATACTTAAGTGTACGAATCAGATCGTTGCAAGTTTAGCTTGTTTTAAAATGCTGCCTCAGCATTTGCAACAAGCACAAAATAAAGCCCACTATGTGTATTTACATTGGATCAATCAGAGGGGAGGAAGTTAGTATATTCATTCCATGGATTTGCAATGGGATTACGTGTGACATTTAGGGCTCTTCCTAAAGCCTCTTGGATGGGGCAAAAAGGTCAAAGGAAATAGGGGCTTGATAAATGTGATCTGTATGCATTCCTCACCAAGGATCTCCAAGGTATTTATTTACACTTCCTTATATATCTAGAGTAAGGTTGGATGGCTTGCTTGGCTTTCAGTTGTGTTCATGAATGTAGTGAAACTCAGAATGGAGAAAACTGAAGAAATAGATTCTTAGGAATGGTCATACAGTAAAATTCTGAGGCAGCAGAGTGATCTGAACCCATAGGCAGTGGATAGGGAATGCCAAACTAGCACACCATGGGGAGCATTTTAGGCCTGTTTTCCCCAACCTTGTATCCTCCATAATGCTGGCTGTCAGACGGTATGAGGGTGGGGAAGGCTGTTCTGGGCCAGAAGTCTTCTAACCACACTAAGGTTTTACTTTTTAATATGTGTGTGAGAGCTGGTATATAGTGGTCAAGAGTGCGGGGCTGGAACTCAGACGATATGGGTTCTAGTCACTCCTGGCCATGGAGCCAACTGGGTGACTTTGGGCCAGTCACAAGACTCTCAGCCCAACGTTCGTCACAGGGTAGTTGTCATGGGGATAAGACTGAGTGCAGGAGGAAGAGAACGATGTAAGCTGCTTTGAGTTCACTGTAAGAGAAAAGCAGGGCGTAAATCAAACAAGTAAGTAAGTGTGCGGGTGGCGCAGTGGTTTAAACTGCTGAGCTGCTGGGCTGGTTGATCAAAAGGTCAACAGTTCGAATCTGCAGATGGGGTGACCTCCCGTGCTTTGTCCCAGCGCCTGCCAACCTTGCAGTTCGAAAGCATATAAATGCAAGTAGATAAGTAGGTACCACTCTGGTGGGAAGGTAACAGCATTGTGTCTACCTTGGTATTTAGTCATGCCGGCCACATGACCATGGAAACTGTCTGCGGACAAATGCTGGCTCCCTCGGCTAGGAAACGGAGATGAACACCTTCCCCAAGAGTCAGACATGGCTGGACTTTAATGTGATGGGGAAACCTTTACCTTTTACCTTTCATAAATTCTGTACATACTTTTTTTTTTTTTTTTTGGTGCTATGTACAGAAAACATGGATGATAGGCCGGGAATCTTCCAAGATCTCGCTGGCCTCGCAGTGCCTTCTCCTTTCACAGGGCCCAGCATATTCAGTATTTTCCTTGCATAACAGTGTTAATTCAGCCCTCGCTGTTAGAACACGGCTAATGCATAGCGGAAGCTGTTCAGTGAGCGAAGCAGCTGCTGTGTGAGTCAAGCCTGGGCACCAAAATAACAGCCTCCTGTGAGAAGGGCGACTTCTGTGAGTAAAAAGGGGCCCCGCAGTGGGGGTGGGCAGAAGCAGCGTGGAGATCATGTGTTAATCACATCCTTAGGGTGAGGATTAGCCATGCTTCCCTCTGCTCTCTTGCCCCCACCCTCCATCACCACAGGCCTATGTAGGTCACCGAAACACATCCTTGGAGTCACTGGGTTGTTGCTTGCATGGGGCATGGATCAAGGATGCTCTCTGTGGTGTGTTTTCTTCTGCATCCAAGATTTTGGAGGTCTCTAGCCACAGTTCAAGCCTGTATTATTCTAGTTTCCATGTCTGGCAGCTATATGAGCCACTTGAAAGTACACTTGATAATTACGGGCTGCATCCTTGGTTGGGAGATTCCTGTGCTCCTGAGAAAGGATAACCTGGAGGCAGAAGCTCAGCTGCCAGGCTCCACATCCACTTGAAAGGCAGTGCAGAACAGAGGGGTGCTTGCAAGCCTTAATGACGGTAGGTGTCACTAATTTGAAATGGAAAGCAGTACAGATAAGAAGGGTGATGAAAATCTGACAAGGTGCCCTTTATTCTCCTGGGGAATTGCTTAAAATGCAGGATGCTGCTAACGAGCTAAGAGCATAGGTGCTAAAATATTGCCTCCCCAACCCCAGATTTAAGCTGAAGGCTGCATGTGAGTTCAGAGCATTGCAAGAAAATGGGAAAACCTCCTTTTCCATTCTTAACAAAATAAGCTTTCACCCTAAAATAATACTGCCTTTTCATGTAAAATTGGGAGAAGTACAGTAGCTCAGTGGGAAAGAAACAGATGCTTTGCATGTAGAAGCTTCCTAGGATTCCCCATTAGAAAATGGATCATGGAACAAGGATTGTGAAAGCTCTGCCTCGGAGTCAGCTGCTGACAGCTAAGGGAGACTGTGCCAGACCTGATGGTTAAAATGCCCAACTCTTCTATGGCATCTTTTTATAGTGAATATAGGATGTGTGTGCTTGTGTAAGTAGATGTACCTGTCTGCATAGCTGTACATCGAGCTAGCATGTTGAATCACCTTTGCTAAGCTGGAAAGGTGAAGGCCTGCAGCCGGATGAGTGACCACATGTGGAAGTGGAGCAGGGGTCTAAGATCTGATGGCCTTATAGGCCGCTTCCAACTCTGCTTCATTTTAGCCTAGCCTAGCCTAGCCTAGCCTAGCCTATGATTCCTAAAGCCCCCTTCAGACACTCAACCTCCAAGGACAATCAACTTGCGAGTAGGATGAACATGCTAGCCTCACCCCACTCTGCCATTGCTTTCATTGCCCTCTCCACATAGAAAGCAACTTTGAGAAGAAGGCCTCTGTCAGACAGGGCTCCCATGATCCAGCAGAACCTAACTTGACCCATCTTACATTTTTATGGGGCCAGTTCAGAAACTCCAGCCTCAACGCCATTCTCCCCTTACATTTTTGCCATGTTAAGCGATTTGACTGCCATTTTAATGGCAGATGGAACTGCAAACTGCAATTACCAGAGCTAACCTTTCGGGCTAGGAAATAGATCCTCTGCCTTTTAGGATTGTTCTGAGCCTTGCATGAAATTCCTTCTGTAGTCCTTATTTATCCATGCTCAGGATATCCCTGTGAGGTAGGCTCCTTGCTATAAGGGTGACGCATTCTGAAATCCATGAGGTCTGAAAAGTCTGTGAGCTGTTGACATTCACACAATACCAACAGAAAGCAATTTGCAGTACTCTGTAAGAAAACTTGGCCAATCAGGAATCTCCAACAGTATGTACCAATATCAAGTTCCTTTTACTGTTAAGAATGGCAAGTTATATTATTAGCGCATCTAATACAGCAGTCTTCTCCAACCAGGTGCCCTCCTGAAGTACTTGACCACAAATCCCAGTCTCCCCATAGTGGGAGTTGGAGGGGATCAGATTTAGGATTCACGCCTATGAATCAGCCAACAGTAGGGTCTCTGTCTGCAAACATAGGAAGATATTTTATAGCAGTAGTTTCTCTAGACCACTGTTTCCTTTTCTGCCTGGCAGGGCCTCCGTCTTTTTCAGTTTTTCTCTCTGAGATGCTTTGAACTGGCAGTGCCAGGGATTAAACCTTCTGCATGCAAAGCGTCTGCTTTACCATTGTGCTCTGGCCTCTCCTGACATACCCTCTGACA